AGTCTTTCAAGTTTATCTACAATCATGTAACTGGTAAATATGTACCAATTAGCCTCTACTCTCTGAGCTTCTCAGTCATAATAGGTATATCTTCATGATTTTCATTCTACTCTTAGTTTTAGTGACAAAATCTACAATATAAAATTGGAGAATAATAATTAAAGTTTATTTATAACTAGTAAATTATAAGTACCTAGATAGAAATTACAGTATAGAATTTATTCTTATGTTTACTTTTCTCAATTAATAAATGAAACTCTTTATCATAGCTTAAAAGTTTACAAATTTTGTGAGTGCTATTTCATGGTTCTAAACCTAGCCCTAGTATAAAAATATACAATAAATTTTTATATTGGCAATAAAAAAATATTGTCATTAATTTTGATAACAAGTGCCCAACACACCCCAATATAAAAACTTTTATATGCCAAAAAATATGCTATAAAAGTGACATGCCGAACAGAGCCTAAAGGATATGATAGATGCGACATTAGAGGCACTCAGCTCAGCCCTTGGAAAAGTGAAGATACTTGCATGATCCCCTCTCTACCTCGGGACTGAATGCCTCTGTTCAAGTACCGGTCGAACACTTCACCTCGACAGAAAATTACCGGCAGTCAATAACCACATTTTCCTTTCCACCTCAATTTGGGCTTAGCATCTTCTCTTTTCCTTTACCCTTTACTTTACCCTTTACTTTTGTTATGCAGTCGTTAATTCCTGACAATTTTCTCCACTTTATCTTCCCGGATATCGATATATCGATAGGACACGGACAAACCTTTTCCATGGGCAGCGCCTCTTCAGTGGAAGGCTGACCGGGTGTTAAGCGATCGGTGAACCTTGGGCGGCTCGAGCGCCCCTCACCTTCAAGGGTTTAAACTATCATCGATACTCGTGACAGAGCCGTCTCCCGCACCTTCCATCCCACTCCCCGTGAGCTTTGCTTCTATCGTCCCACCCATTTCACCCCTCCCATGGCCCCGGGCCACGCTGACGCAACCACTAGATCTTCCGAACGACAGACGGCACACCGCAGCGACTACTCGAGTATAGGAAACCGTTTTCCCGGGGTAGTTCAAGTTATTCAAATTCTTTCCTAGAGCTATGTCCAATTTGATAGCAACTGTCTTGGATAGGCGGACGTAGGCCGGCAGCGGAATCGTTATGGAGAGTAGGAGGGAAAATGTATAGTATGTTGTAGAGAGGAAGGATGATCTGTGTTTGCTCTCTTCCGACTTCTCGTAAACTAAATACAGGTAGAGAGCACGCACCACACACATACACAAACAGGAAAACAGGAAAACCCCAAACACAACATCAACAGTCTCAACCCTTCTGTCTGTCATACTTCAGA